GCGCTCAACGTTGAACGCCTCGGGCGACCCAGAATTCGTTCGACGTGGAGCGATGTGGGACGTTTCGGAAGCGCCCGATCGTTCGCGGTGGAACGATCCCCGCGGTGTCGGGAACCAACGCCAGGGTCGGCACGACACGAAATTGCCGTACGTCCTGTGATGATGTTGGCCCCTGGTGTGCTCCCTCGGGGGGCTCCGAGGCCACTCGAAGCTTTCCTGTGGCCATCTTGGGGCCCCTCGGAGATACCCCGGAGGCTACCATGAACCATCTCCCGCTGTCTTACAGTGGGGGCCAGTCCACAAGAAACCGTCCACAAAGAAAACCCGACCCTGAGACCCCAGGACGTCCATCGGTTTCTGGTGCGGGAACGTCGCGCTTTCCACAGCAGTACCATCGACACCCGAGAAGCCCAGGGCACCCTGGAGGTAAGCGGGGTGTTTTTTGGCATGGATCTCCACAGTAAGTCATCGCAGAGGCCATCCTGGGGCGTCGGGGGCCATCTTTGAGCCATCTCGGGCCGAAGCGGGCCGCCCGGCACACCTCGCGCCGCCGCCCCCGGGCGAGGGGGCACAGTTCAGGAGGGAAAGAAACACACAGACACAATTAATCGTCGATTCCCATGAAAATATAGGAAAATATGGGAAGTCGGGGGAAGACAAAAACCGAGAAAATATGGACAAATTTGGGGAATCCTTTTATTTGTGTGTATTTATTTGTGTGTCCCAGGGCCCCTTCAACAGGGGGGGCCCATGCCAAGAAACGCCCTGCTTGCCTCCAGGGTGCCCTGGGTTTCTCGGGTGTCGATGGTTCTGCTGCGGAAAGCGCGACGTTCCTGTACCAGAGATCGACGGACGCCCCGGGGTCTCAGGGCTGGGTTTTCTTTGTGGGAGCTTTCTTGCGGACTGGCCCGCACCGTAGGGGGATGGGGCAAGCTCCAAGCGGGAACGCCGCAAGCTGCCTCGCGCACCCCCGCCCGCCCTCCCACGACATGCGTGGCACTCGGGAACCAGTGCAGATGCCAGCAAGGTGCGCGAAGCCCACGATGTGCGCCGCACGTGCCAGGTGCGCCACGCGCACCAGGTGCGCCACGTTTGGCAACGTGGCGACCCCCCTACCATCCCTGTCAAAAACTAATGCAACGCGACGGCGGGTTAACTCGCACTGTATTATGTATCGTGTGTGGGTGTGCACCCGCAATCGCTTTGCATGTGTTCTCTGACAGGGATAGTCGGCTTGCACAGAGCAGGCACTGTGCCCACCCCCCTCCCTGGCAAAGTGCACCTTGTCATTCTTGTCAGTGCATCGATTTGGGGCTTCGGCGCGGGATTGAACATTGAACAGTGGAAAACCACGAACACCACATGTTCGGATTGAACAGATGACACTTGAAACATTCAGATCCTCACTCCCGGGGCTGCGGACTGAAACTTCACAGAATGTAAAGTGTCAATCTTGGGGTCGCGGATTGAAAACAAGGAAAGCGACAAACAACAGAAAAAGCATGTGATCGTTTTTCATTCCTTGTTTTGCCGATCGGCGCGAGCCCTCGCACCCCCCCCCTTCCCCCCCCCTGGAGTGGATCTTGGCGGATTCGGGGCGCCTGTTTCGAGCGGGTGGAGCCTCCCCCCAGAGGCCGCACTTCTGCTCATGGTCGCACCAAGCAGAGGCCCGGAGCCAGACCCCCTCCCCCCCACACTCCCGCCCCATGCCGAAACGCCGAAAAAGAAAAACGCTGACCATCCAATCCGGGCGGATCGGGACTGCATCCGTGCACGCTCGTGCTCAAAACTTCTTGTGGCGGGGGCGGGGTCGAGAGAGGGAAGGAGGAGAAGGAGGAGGACGAGGAGGAGGAGAGGAGGAGGAGGAGGAGGAGGAGGAGGAGGAGGAGGAGGAGGAGGAGGAGGGGGAGGGGGAGGAGGAAGAATATGAGGAGGAGGAGGATGAGGAGGAGGAGGAGGAGGTGGTGGTGGAGGAGGAGGTGGGGGGCGAGGCGGGCGAGCGGGGCCCGAAACAGCGAGAGCCCACGGCGCTCCCTCGAGGCAGGGCCCCCGGCAAGGCGGGGCGGCCCGGGCGGAGCGAGGCACACGAGTGTGTGCGTGTGTTCTGTGTGTGTCTGTGTGTGTGTGTGTGTGTGTGTCTGTGTGTGTGTGCGTGCGTGCGTGCGTGCGTGCTGCCTGTGGCCGAGCGGCGCATAGTGTTCGTTTTGTTATTCTTCATTTTGACGGTCGGCGCGGGCCCTCGCGCCCCCTTCCTCCCCCCCCCCCTCGTGGAGTCGATCTTGGATGTTTTTTGGCGCCTGTTTCAGGCAGGTGGGGTATCCCCTCGTAGGACGCACTGTCGCAAACAGTCGCACTAAGCAGAGATCGCCTGTGGCCGGGCGGCGCACAACTGCGACAGGCGGCGCGGGTCGGGCGGGCGGAACATCGGAGCGTCGTGCGGCAGGGCGCGCTTTGATAGTGGTGTCGTGCCGCCAGTGGGCGCGGAGCGCTTGGAGTGTCGTGTGGTCTCGGGGGCGACGATATGGGGCGAAGAGCCCAGGGGGGAGCAGTATATGTATCCAGGGGCGCCGATGATCGATGTCTTCGAAAAGGCTCCTGGGCGAAGACGTGTGATTCCCGCCCCTGGGCTATTCGCCCTCATCGTCGACGTCGATCGTCGGGGGGCACGGAGCATTTAAAGTGTCGTGCCGAGGCGCTCGGCACGACTCGTGCCGAGCGTGTCTCTCGAGTGCGGTCTCGGGCGAGGCGCGGCGAGCGGCCGCGGCGCGAGTCGGGCGGGCGGGGCACGTCAGAGTGCAGGGGGGGCTCCTTTCTCGAGCGTCGCGGCGGGGCGGCGCGGGTGCCCCCAGGGCCGCGGGGCGGGTCGGGCGGGCGGGGCATGCAGGTGTTCGTCAGAGGGACGCCAACAAAGCACCACCACCAGCCCTGGCCAGGTCCATCTTGGGACCTGGGCTGGTGTACAGACCTCCAGGCCTAGGCCAGGAGGACCTTTGCACCAGCCCAGGGCCCAGGACAGGCCTGGACAGGGCTGGTGGTGGTGTGTTGGCTGGAGCTCTCCCAGTTCGGTCCTCGGTGCGTGTGGTCGCGCGAGGCGGGGCCGACGGGGAGGCCGGGCCGAGAGACGGTTCGCGGGAGGCGGGGCGGAGCGGGGCCAACGGGGCCAGGGAGGGTCGGGCGTGCGAGACGCGCAAGTGTGGCCCCAGCACTGCGTCCAAGAGACGCTGGAAAGGCCTCCCAAGGGATCCCAAACCACCACGTCCACGAGCCCTCTGTCGTCGTCGTCGTCGTCGCCGTCGCCCATGGTGCGTTCTGACTGGGATTTCGAGGCGGATCCAGCGGTGGCGTCGAGGGCCTCCCAGGAGGCCCCAGAAAGGGGGGACCGCGGGGGCAGGGCGGCAGCAGGGGGGGACCTTTTCCTCCTCCGAGCTTCGCTCGGTCGCCCCGCTCCGCGCGGCCGCACTCGAGGGCGGGAGAGAGCCCCCCACTCTGGATGCCCCGCCCGCCCAGCCCGCCGCGCCCGTGGGCCGCGCGTCGTCCGACCGCGCTCGGGAGAGCGAGAGCGCGCCCTGCGCTCGGACGTCCTGTTTACGGGACCCGCCTCGTTCGTTGGCCCCCGCTCCGCCCGACCGCACGCGAGAGAGACGACGACGACGACGACGACGACGACGACGCGTACGACGACGCGTACGACGTCGACGTCGACGACGTCGACGACGACGACGACGACGACGACGAGGTCCGGGGAGTAGGCGGTATGGGTACCTTTTGGTCTCCCCAGAGGTGGGCGGGTGGGCGGGACACTGGAGCGTGTCACCACCCAGCCTGATGGCATTACCGCTTCTCCCCCTGGCTCTGGTACTGTGGTGCCCTGCTCTTGCACTGTTGTGCCAGTCTTGCATAGTACACATCAACATGAGTATCGATGTGAACAATCCGCTATACTCTGCGATTCTAAATCACGACGCTACCTCAAAGTCTGATGTCTTAGATGTAGTCACAATGAACCTGTACGGGATTCGACCGTGTAAAGCACAATGCTACCGCACATTCTAGTACACTTTGCCATACACAGCTTTCATATGCTTCCATGAGAAATCCCTCTCTCTAGGCGTCTATATATATATATATATATACATGCGCTACGCAGTACCCCATAGCATACCACTTGTTGTGCCACAGCTGACCATACATCACCATACGATGTCGTGCTGCACCATGCCGTGGTGTACTCTACGCTGTGCTAGCATTCGTCACCATATTCTGCTGTGCTACACTATACTGCATGTTACTGCTGTATCCTCAGCGGCCAGAGACCACGGGCCACTACCAGAGACCTGGACCAGAGACCACGAGTCATTGATCCAGGATCCAGCAGACCACCCACTTGTCTTGCATAGACAAGAGAAGACTTTGCATACATACATACACATATATACACACATACATACATACATACATACATACATACATACATACATACATACATGCATGCATGCATGCATGCATACACATATACATACATACATACATACATACATCCATACAAACATACATACATACATACATACATACATACATACATACATACCATACACACATAGCATACACACATATATACATACATACATACATACATACATACATACATACATACATACATACATACATACACACATACATACATACATACATACACACAGACATACATACATACATACATACATGCATGCATGCATACATACATACATACATACATGCATACATACGTACATGCATACATAATTCCATACATACATACATACATACATACATACCTGATCTCGGAAACTTGTCTCGGGAACTTGAAAACTGTCCCATGACGCTCCCAGTAGCGCATGCTCTCCGTGGCGCTTGCAGGTTCCTTGTGGCGCTCGTTGGCTCGCATGGTCTGGCAGACATAGCGCCTGCGTGCGTTTCTAGGCTCGCTGCGGGGCTAACATGCGCGTTATGGTGCTCAGAAG